GGTAATCAGCTTCATCCTCTCCTAGGGTGAACCTTGCGATCATCTCCGCCCTTGTATCGTCGGTGGGAGTACAGAAGTCACTGCCCTTGACAATATATGGGATGTTTCCCTCTACTTCTAACATAATTTTCTTGTAGTTCGGGGAAACCATGTACGGGTTGCCGCAGGCTGGCCATATGAATGTGTATCCTTCCTCCATGCATTTCTTTCCAACAGACAGTACTGAAGGAGACTCATCTAGGACGAATGGGGAGTAGGTAGAGTCAAATTCGTCGAAATGAATGTCGGCGACTCCCTTTGTGGATGTCACTCCATTTGCAGTATAGAATGACATTGATTGGTCGCTTTCTCTCACTTCCAGACCTAATTTCTTGGCTCTGCCTTTCGATATCAAATCATATCCACATCCTGTGTCCATGATGAACTTCGTTCTTGACCCTTTGGCTGGAATAGACAATGTCTTTGTGTCTGCATGATCTTTCTTTCCCTCGCATACATGAGGAATGATCTTATGATGGAAAACTAGGCCGTCATCTTCGTCAAAAGACATAGTGACCGATAGATCACCCTTTGGTCCAACTGGTATTCGGACCCTCTTGATCTCAGTGTAGGGGACCATCAATATGCCTCTCGCCTCTGCGACCTTTTCTTCAAATCTGATTTGTTCTTTCCTCGTGTAGCAGGTGAGCTCTTTCTCATCGTATCGCTTGATGTCCGGACGTAGAGGTTTCGTTTCTACTACCTTCCATTTGTCCCTGACTGAGTAGATCGCTTCGTTCAACATGATCTCACAAGTCTCTTCATCAAAGGATACTTTTGCACCTCCTTCTCTTGCTTTGGCGGATGCAGCAATCCCTTCATCTTCGGATTCGTCCATGAAGAGTTCACCGCCAATGGCTGGGGCTCCAGGCTTCGCCTTAGGCTTCGGTTTGGGTTTTGCCTTGGGCTTTGACCTATCGTCTCCTGAGTCAGCTGGTGCAGATATCCCTTTCTTAGGAGAGGCTTTTGGGTCATGGTAGAATTTGCAATCCTTCCCTTTGTCACAAGTTCCTCGAATCCACATCCAACATACTGGCTTGTCATTCTTTCCGACAGAAGGTCCTCTGGATGGTGATCTGGGTTTCTTGTGACTGAATGGGCAGTCTTTCCCCATAGTGCAGTTACCTTTCACGAAGAATTTGCATGGTATCTTCTTCTTGTCTGCACTCGGACTTCGGCTGCGATCCTTTCCATCACCTTTACCTCTCCCCTTTCCCCTTTTGTTCTTGTCTTCAGGATGCTTCTTGGGATTGGGTTTCGGCTTCACTGCAGCAACGTCTTCTGAGACAACTTGTTCTTGTTGCCCTTTTGGTTTCTTCTTCGGATCAGCTGGTGCAGCTTTCAATTTTGGAGCAGGTCCGCCTGGTTTGAGATTCTGAAAGATATTGGCCACATTCTTCACTGCCTTCTCCTTTTCCAGGATCATCCTGTCTTCAGTTTGCCGTTCGATGTGCCTTCTGATCATATCACGTAGATGTTTGTATGTCTTCTTGGCATCATCGTCGTTCATGCTATTGTAGGCGCTGATGTCGTATGCCATGAGGTTTGAGTTCCTGATCTTTCTCCATAGGAGATCCCGAAGAGTTTCGTCACTCGGGACGTCAACGGGCTTCATTCCTGCCAGAATCTCATCCCAAGTGTGAAAGAACAACGATAAGTTCTTATCTCCTTGATATTCTAGTTGGTAGAGGTGCATTGAAGTATATAAGACTTCCACATTTGACGTTGTCTTGAAATTCATAAGGATCAGGGCTAGGACCTCTCTTCCCTTTATGAGACTTGATGTTCTCCCTTTTGCATTGATCCTCGTCCTCAACTTCATAGCTACACCTGAACCATCATCTTTCGCATCCATGACGACCTTGGTAAGAGCTAGGCCGAGTTTGGCATCGATTGAATGGAATCTTTGATCTCCTGAGTCGACAAACTTGTCCGGATCAGGATCGTCCATGGCTTCTTTGATCCAATCGATCCAGGGCTCTTGATCTGAATCATTGGCCGCAATGATGATCGATTGAATGAGATTTGCCTTCCATAGTCCAAGATCATTGATCCTGGGCCATGACGGAACATTTATCTTTGATTCTTCCTTCCTCGATACTTTCATGATTGTAGAGGTTGCCGGTGCAAGATGGGATGAAGAGGATGCTTCTGTTTCTGAAATCTTGTCCCTCAATGATTTGTTCGCCTCGGATAGCTCAATTGATTTCTCTCTTTCCTCGGCGTACTCATTGTGGGTTTCTGCATACCATTCATACATCTCGTCTCGGCTCTCTGTCATTTCATTGTACCCGTCCTTGTAGTATTTCGCCTCCTCTTTTGCGTTCCGAATCTCATCTTCCTCGGACGCGTGGGTTGGTAACCCGCGGTCTCTGGAACTAGGACGCTTGCTGTACCGAGAGACTATGGGTGCCATTCGTGCTTCTGCTTTTAATTTCGCATTTTCCATAATGACATTCTTTGTCTCCTTCTGGCTTTCCAATAGTGCATTCTCCAGTTCTCTGATCTTCTGTTGAATTTCAGCACCATCATCGCCGAACATAGGAGCTCTCATCATATTCTCTCTTTTCAGCTGTGCGTTGGCTTCGGATAGAGCGAGGTTGACGTCTTTCAATTGTTGTCGTTCACGGATGGAACTTTCTAGGACTTCGTTGTTGAATATTTCTCCTTTTGCGATAGCCTCCTTTGCGATGTTTCCTTCGTATTCATGGTGGCTCGCCTTCTTTTCTGCCATTTCTCTAGCAAAGACTTCAGTCTGGCATACAAACATCTCCATCTTCATGCCCACTTCCATCTCTCCTATCTCCGCTCTCGCGTTGAGTTCAGCTCCACGTGCCATAGCTAGTCGACCTCTTAGATGATCAATAACCATAGCTTCCTGATTGCTCTGATCTTGAGATGAGTGAACACTGTGTTGAAGACGTCTTTCCCTGACCTCACTGTTCCATTGTTCTTCTCTCTGGTGTTGGATCACCTCGTGCATATTGACATTCTCATCCTGTAGCGCAATCATTCTAGCTTGTATCTAGTCAGCTATTCCGACGAAGGCTGTGTTCTCATCCTAAATGGCTTTTGATCTTCTATTAATCGCCAATGAATATTCATTCTGTTCTTGGATGTGTCCAATTGCTGCTTGAAGCTCTTGGGACATTCTGTCCTTCGTTGCTTTCACAGATTCAAGCGCTAAATGTTCTTGATGAGTTCCTTATGCAAGCTCTTGATATCTCATGTAGATATGTTCAGCTGTCGATTCCGCCAAGCGTAGCTTGTGTTCGAGCTCTTCAATTCTTATTGTCGCCCCTTCATCCTCCTGTGTCATTTCCTGTAGATGTTCTTGCATCTTCCCGTTGTAGTCAGACATTTTCCTAAACTCCACTTCAGCCTCGTAGTATAGTCGTAAGTATCCGGCTTAGATGCAATCATATTCTTCATGAAGAAAATTGCATGCGTTTCTCGCCGATCTCAATTCTTCACCCAGCTGAATCTCTCTTCTTTACTCTTTTGTTCCTCTATCATCGTTACGTCTCTTCTCTATACTCCTTCTTAGGGATCTCGCGGTAGACGTTATAGGCGATGTAGATCTTGCTGTAGCTCTCATCGATCTTCTTGGTCCTACGGATGCAAGATCGGTCAGATTCCGAGCCGGTGGCACGAATCTTTCCGAGATTTGTGATCCAGTAGGCATAATGATAACGTCAGCATTTGCTAATGAATCAGTACCCATTGTAGAGTCTAGTGACGAAATGGTGTTGGAGCCACCAGGAGCAGCGAATAAATAGGATTCGCTTCCATTTCCTCCTAAGCTTGACTTTGCAGGTTTCTGTAATAACTAGTTTCGTTCTTGGTTTCGTATAGCTCGTACGGCTAATAATCTGCGAGTAAATCTTAATCAGCGAAGTTTAAAACTATCACTACGGTCCATAAGCGGCGTAGCGTCGGAACGGAAACCGCACCTTTTCTAGTCGTTTAATCCTTGAGCCAAAATACATATGGTATATATATATATGTACAAGTTGCACTATACGTGTCGCAACACTTCCATTCACAAATTATATTTAAAACCATTCATAATAATCATAATATACAAAATCTCCCGGACCACGATATACATAATAGCCACTAAACCACGACTATCATTAATATAAATATACATAAAATTGGTTTTATTAAATATTCATATAATTATAATAACATTAAACATAAAATTATAGATTTTTTTTTCCCAAATATATCCTTAAAAAAATCAATCAAAATCAACCGATTTTTCCTACCACAATTAAAAAAACAAATTTACCCGAAAATATTTAGAAACAAACCATAATCCTTCTTAATATTTTGCTAACGACCCAATAATCCAAAATTATATATAAATATCATATTAATATACTATTTTTATTTCCATATCTAAATTTTCGTTAAATCCGAAATTAATAATTAAACTAAATTGCTTCATCAATTCTTACGTTTTTACATTAGTCCCCTATATTATATATTTGTATATAATTATATATATATATATTTTTTTTTAAAATTATTTTATTCCATTATAATATCAGATATCTAAATCTATAAATAAAAATAATAGAATATTATTAGTGTAATAAAAAAACCATATCTATATATTTATATTTCATGATTAAACATATAATTCCTTATAATTTCGATATATTAAGGATATGAAAAATAACAATTTATATATGGGCATTCAAGGCGGTGAAATAACATAATTTTGATTAATTTTGTCAAAGGGAAAGGGCGAAACAAAGCAAGCAACGCAATTGTCGAATTGTAAGGAACTAAGCAAAACCACACCAATGTTTGGGCCTAGTCGGCTTAATTCTTCATTGACCCAATATAAACATCCAAGCTATTTTGCTGGACACACCGATCAGTGTCAATGTGACTTAATTTGCAAATATTTGTGGTCGTTATGCACATCTGAAGGCTTTGGCGCCGTTTTGTCTTACATTAACGAATGGAGGCATTGAGAAGCTTGGTCGACAGAGGGAAGGCTTCGGCAAGTCGCATGCTCCAGGAGTTCCGAAGGGGTCGGGTTTTAATGAGTAGAGAACGAGAACCGCTATCCTCTCCGGCGCCATTGCGTTCCAACTTCGGGATTAGAGCAACCAAATGGATTGAGTGAGTCGTCTGGGCACCCGCCTGGCCATTATTCAGTCTTTCTTCGTCGGTAAATTGTGAGGTCGTCCTTGCAACCAGGCCTCGGCAAGTGGTTCTCCGGTTGGCGCGTTCAGGCCACCCTGCCTTTATCATCCTTTTTTCGCCCTACCTGAGCCCCGCTGCCCACTGGAGTGGGCCCACTTACCAGTGCGACCCGAAGACTGAAAACACCCGGCCCCATCCAGAAGGTCCAAGCAGCCAGGAGGGGATTCGGTAGCGCTGAAGCAGGTCCCAATCGTCTTGGATGGCGTCCAGAAGGCTTTGGCCGGGCCAAGGGCCTTGAGAGAGAGAGAGGTTGAACAAATTGCCAGTGCAATTCACATCAACTTGGGAAATTTTTGTTGAACATAGGATCTCCCAATTGCCTCACGGCGGCCTTCCAAGATCCCCTCCCGAAGCGGCAGTCGAAGAACCCCCCACCTTTGATGGTTTTCGTATGTTTTCGTTCTCTTACCAGTGCACGAGCAAACTCATCATGAAAGAGAACGTTTGTTTTTAGGTCATCATCAACAAAGAAGAATAGCAGTGCCGCCCTTCTTGCCACAAGGAATGCAGCACCCTTGATGCTACATGACTTGCGGGTTCTGTTGCTTGGTGGCTTTTTGGTCTTTTGAACTGAGGCATGGCTCGTTTTGCCCTTTGCAGCACGTATCCCGGTGAACAAGGATGAACGAGGTGTGGTATTCACATGGCAAAATGGCTTACTATGCGTTGAGATGAACAAAAAACTTGGACCCCAATGACATCGCAGGTATTCCACAGGAAGGACGTCAGTACGGTCGATTTTCGGGATGCGATGGTTCTGTCGATTCGGCCAACCCACAATCTCCATGTTTCTGCCATCTACATTCATTGGGGTTTCTGCCATCTACCATCCATCTACATCCATCAACATCAGGATGTTCATGGATGTTCCGAACCCCGATGAACCCTAGTGATTCTCTCAGGGCCGCCGCCCACTCCAAAAGGATTCAACAGCCTTTTTCAGAGGTGTGCCACCTCCTTCCCCAAATCACTTGCCCTCTTTCCTCGGCTCCAACGAGACCCCGAGTGAACACCTCGGACAACCCGACAAAGTGACGACACGTGGTCCATCTGCACTACATCCCCGAAAGATTCACATGGAACCTGAAAATGGGCCTTTGGAAGACGATTTGCCTCTACAACTCGGTTTTCAGGTTCTATGTGGTGGTTGCGACGCCCAGCGGCCATCATCGTCATCGAGCGCCTCGGGTCAAAGGAAGGCTTGGTCGCACAGGAATCATATATATCAAACGGTTGGCCCCCCTGCGAGCTACCCTAGAAGTTGGATACCTAATGCAAAACTTAGTCCACGATTTGGATAGGCGATGCTCAATCACAGGGATAGCAGGTTCTCCCATACATAAACATATCTATGTGGTCACAACTTCCAATATCTAAAGTTTGGGAGCTTCGATGCATTATTCTCACTGCTACTCCTATTGTCAATCTTTCTCTATCTCCTGACTATAGAGGTTAGCCATCTCTTCATGTTTAGTGGGGAAATCAGTCCTCCAAAAAGATCTTAACGGTTATCCACCGAATAGGTAGGTCTCCGAATCGTTTGTACGCCGGCCCTTTTCGTGCTGTTGGCATCCCCCATCCATCACGATTCTCCACCCGGTCCGGTCAATTCTCCACCCGGTCCAGTCAATTTGTGGCCTCCAATGACACATGCTTCCAAGCAGCGCGCTCGCCCAAATAGATCAAAAACTCCCCATGCCACACTCGAAGAAGATCTAAGCCTCAAGGAACCCCTGTTGGGGCCACACATATTTTCACAGAGGTGAGTCAAACAGACGTGATTTTCTTGTACTCTCCCTGAAACCATCATGGAAGTGGAAAATGGCCCCTAGACCAGACCATTTTCCTAAGCAGGGAACGGTCTACTTCCATGTTACAGCGAACAATTTTAGTCACATCAGTTTTGGTTTCGATCGTGAAACTGCATGCTGTACATCCCATGAGGGACCTGATCCAAAAAACGTCAAGGTCTCTTCGATTTCTGATTCGGACGCTGCTCCGCAGCTCGCGGAGGCGCAAGCGGCGCAGCTCTCCGGGGCCCCAGCCGACACTCTCCGGGCTGTGAGGTGGCCAGCTTAACAGGAGCGCCCAGCTGACGAGGATGGTGCGATTGGAATCTCTGTCTCTCTCAAACTGGTCATGGTGAGGAACTGGTCATGGTGAGGATTTCGATGGATTTCGGAAGCGGCTTCCCAAGTCGTCCAATTCATGGGATCCCTTGGAACAGAAGAAGCACGCTCATTCAGTCGTGACCCCATGTTCGACGTTTAAGCGGTCGTTCACACGACATGTCTATCTCGCTGTCCAAGCTTCCAAGATTTCCGCGGCTCGGTTTGGAGCCCCAAATGCTTGCGTCGCCACAACAAGAAATAGGCGAGAGGGAACAGGGCAGGGGCGATTTGAGCCAGGTCAATTGTAAACGCACACATGCATATGGCCGACCAACATGTACACATGCATATTGAGACTGTAACACGCAAAATGTACTGGCAGCGGCATGGGCATATATGTGCTGCTATACCAGCGTCATGAATCATATAGAGCCCATGAAAAAAGCTGACTGGGTTTTGGGACCCTCCGTCACCACGCGCTGCGCCGCCTGGTGAGATCTCCATCGATGGGTTCTGCCAAGGCTCTCCTGCAGGGCGGACGCATGAAAAGGGCTTAGCTGAAAAGGTCCCCGGTCGCTGGTCTTCGATCATGGATTGACTTGAATGAGCTAATTGTGCCATCCAGTGCTCGGCCCTGCCCTGCCCGAAGGCTTGAGCCGTTGTGGTTGTGGTTGGGATTGAGTTACGTTACCCAAAATGGAATCAGCCACCTGCCAGCAGTTATGCTCCCTCCAATCCAACATCATCCACGATTTGCTGCTTAGTTTTGCAAAGGGCAGGGGCCAAATCCATCATCATTCGGAGATATTCGGAGTATCTGCAAAGATCTGCCCCCACTGTGCATGGACAAATTTGGGCATCCCTAAGAATGCTAATTCGCCTTCCATGACTTCACGTGCTTTCAACCAAAAGGTGGATAAAGACGACATGGATTGAAATGGACCATGTTGTGCACCACAATGTTGCATCTACTTCTTCAAGCCTTTTGCACCTTCTTTTTGGACCCCCCCGGTGCTTCTTTCGCTTCGGGGCGGCTCTTTCGCCGCCCCAGATCTGCGCGCCCTCGCATCCAAAAAGCCAGCGTTGTTACAACGCGGTCGCGTCTCCTCGAATCCGTCACCAACTTCACCCCACTCCAAGCAACCGATTTCGCCTGGGCTTTTGAGATTGACGGAGTCCTTTCTGGACCTCCCTGGAGCCGAAAAATCCCTCGGATTCGTTGGATGGGGCGCGCCGCATCCGCCCCGGCGGCCGCGATCGTCTGTCGGGGGTGAACGGCACACCGCCGTAAACCACCCTAAGGAGTTGGGAAACCCTGTCCTCTTTTTAAAAAGACTCGCTTATGAGCCCACAATAGCCAGAATAGCCCGCATAGTTCATGGGCCATCACCTTTAAGCTTTGTCAATATTTGTCTGACCTGGACTTATATACCTTGTGGAAAGCACAGCACGGTGTTCGTTACCCCCACCATTCTCTGCCTGTCTTGAGGCCCCTGCTCTAGGGAATTCGGAATGTGGGACACCCATGGATACCGATGAACACTTTGTCCAGTCATAAAACATCTTAAAACAACCTCGGAAAGGTCCAGGCCAGGCGAGGTGGTGCGCGACAAACACGAAACTGGTCTCCTACCGCCCTGGTGATCATTCGTGCGAAATAGGCACCTCATAGGAATCCAAAGCAATGACATGCAGCCCGCCAGCCACCTGCTTGAGGATGGCGAGGCTTGGGAACCACCCCACATAGATCTTCCCAGAGTCACACGTGTTGACTTACCTGGTGTCGGTCTTTCACTCGCTACATGGTGAACTGGTCGCGTGAACACCGGACGACCCATCCCCGATGGGGAGACTGGGTGACTCGCTGCTCGAGTCAAGCAGGTGGACCTGTTTCCAAAAGGAGAAAGGGGGTTGGACAACCCTGTGTCCCTTGAAATGCACGGCACTGGCAGAAGGTTGTCACTGGTTCTTCTCATCTTCATCACTTCCCGGCCAGATCTTCAAGGGGTTTTTGCGGTCCTCCATTCAAAGGCCCCCAGCCGGTGTGCATGCCGTTTTCTGCCATCGCGCGCAGCGAAAAAACCTTCCACACCGTGCCTCCCACAGCATGGCTTGCCACCTCAGGCTTTCAAGACCCACCAATGGGGCCTCGGTTTTGGGAGACCAACTGCCTGAGGTTTGGGTCCCTGAAATGCCCTGAATGGTTTGTGGACATTCACCGCGCATAAGATAGGCTGTAATAGAAACCTAATATGGGCCGTTCAACCCCTCCGTGCAGTTTCAGCTCGAAGATCCAAACTTCAGAAACCTGAGATCCGTGAGGGCTGGGCGAGTTACAAACGAGTGCGCTCATACTTTCTTTGTTTCCGAGATGAGTCAGTCACCGAGTCTAGGTCGGTCGAAGATGGTGGCGTCGGTTTCTTGTCACATTTCAGAGGAACAAATCAACAGAGCTGAAGAGTCATGGAATAGTTTCACCTTCAATGACCTGGAAACACAGCCAAAAAAACATACAATGCTTGTCCATTGCACACCGAATTTGAAGAGGACCTGTGAGTACACTTGCTGGTGCTGAAGCACGGGTGAATGAGTGAAGTGTTGAGAACATTTTTCTGTACCAAAAACATTTTAGTAGTGTCTAAAGTCTGAAAAAGTGTCCTTTTTGGCACTGATCTCATTGTCAAATAACATTTGTTTTGTAAAGCATTTGTTGGTCTTGCCTAGTTTTTTTAACAGAAAAATCACTTTGGACCAAAACTGTTGAACGTTAGGTTGAAATGTCAGGGGTGATGCTGAAATAGCGTCATCAAACCCTGGTGCTGTGATAGCGCCATGGGTCAGGCTCAGAAAATGTTTAAGCCATAATGCATAAGAAGACACGCCATACGAGTGAATGCGTGAAGAACATTTGTTGAGAACATTTTTCTGTACCAAAGCCGGGGGGATTCTATAGTTGTGTCTAAAGTCTCTCTTGTTTTGTTTCTTGGTGGCACTGATTTTGTGTGGCACTGAAACTGAACTTATTGGAATACCGCAGACCTGATTCAGGGTGATTGTCGACATAGTTGCAAAAATAATCGACTGCCCTTCAGTCTGCACTTTGATCCAGGTGGTTGACGTGTCTTTGCCCATGAACATCTCTGGAGTTTCGCCGTAAGCGACCAAAAGCATCTCTGGTCCAACATGTTTAGCCAACTTCATCCTACTGTGCTACTTTCCCTCCATATCCCTGCTATCAACCTGCTCTCATCTAGGCCAAGCCCAGCCCAGTCTCGGTTGTCCATGTTTTTCCTCGCCCAGGTGCCCGCTGCCGGCCAGGGGATCCACCACCCCCTTCACCCCCAGCTCCTTCAGCACCTTCGCTGCCTCAGCCCACGAACGAGTCACCGATCAACGCGCTCCGTGCCGAACGAACGAACGACTTGGAAGGGTTTGGAACCACCCACGGGGCCGCTTCGGGTCTGGTGACTTGGGGACACCGGCGAAGTGGCGACTTGGCGCCATTCCATGTCGAACGGGCGAAACGGTCCCGAAGCATCATGGCGGCACCATCGGAAGATGTGACGCCACGATTGGCACCTGTGCCGAGAGGGTCCTGATCGGCCATGTCCCGATGGGTCCTGGAATGGCCATTTTCGGAATACATCTGAATACCAGGTAGTGCCATCCAGTTCCATGATTCTTCAGGAGTGACTCCACCCAGTTTCCACCGCGATGGTCCTCGGATTTTCTGATTAACTCGTCCAACCCTGAAGGCTCAGGCTCCCCCCATTGGGCCACGCCTCTTGGGCCACCTCTTCGGTCAAAAGGCCCCAAGAGAAGAGGCTGCAAATGTAGTACCTCACCGGTGGCTCCCATTCGGCCGGTCCGTGACACTGGGAGCAAGGTCGGTCCCGTGAGGGGTCTCTCAGTGCTGAGGTGATGAGGTGAGCGACCCCCCCAGAGGTGCTCAACAGCATCTGCCCGGAGATGTCCGAGGTCTACACATGATGCCCACCTTCCAAACAAGCCGTGGAGATTCTGGCCGACTGAAGCGAGACCCAACACAGGCAAAGACCAGGCTCCGTTTGCGATGTCCAAGGAAAGCCCTAGATGGAAAGACATGGGGGGTGTTGTTTACCATCCATCCCGCTTGAGTCGTCTTGCCAGAGCACTTGCATAAAGATTCTTAAAGCAAACCCTTATCATAACATATTTAGTAATTATGCAATTTACAGTATATTGATATTTATTGTGGGGAATGAGGATCCAAGAGAATGCTGCCCAAATGCTCCTTTTGGGGAAGTGACGACTTGTAGGCTCAGAGACTTGAACAAAACACCTTCGAAAACCATGCCGACGGTGTGCCTGAATCGGAGCAACAGTGGAGCCCAGGAAGCGGTCGTGCGCAGGGGCTTTTGCCCCAAAACCTCAGCGAGCGTGAACGCGGCCAGTTCATGTGTTCCCTTGCTTTCGCTTGCAGGATGCACTTCTGGATCTTGTAGTTCCTGTCCTCTGAACACCTGATTTCTTCATGCAAAACATGACCCCGACAAAAAGTCGTGTGTCAAAGTCTGCTGCCCGGAGTCATCCCAGATCCAACGATGCCGTCTTTTGAAACCTTGGAATTTGCATTCCCTGCCAGTCAATGTCCGCCCCACCAGCCCTGATCCGGCCCTCAAACATACTCATTCAGCTCATTCCCGATGCAACGATCTCTGCCTACCAGGACAGGTATGATAGGTTTGGTCACTCTGGAGATCCTGTCAGGTGACAATTGGGAGTCCTGCCAGGTGACCATTTTCGTAAAGCTTCCAGGTAAAGCTTTCCCCCTTCACCGCCATCTGACGAGTACTTTCAAGCTCGGGACTCCTCGCGAGACCACATCTAAAGCCAGGGCGAAGTCATGGTACGCCTGCCTCGAGAGAGGCTGATGGAAACACTCATGTGTGACGACATGTGGGCTCTGAAGAGGCTGACAATGGAGACCTTGACCGCCACGCAGCACGTGCAGCTGAAGTGAAGTGTTCTCTCATCTCGAATCTCCGACACGACACGTTGGATCTTCTCTCCAATTCTTGTTTCATGGGCTTCGTCCTTGCTAGTAGCTTCTTGTTCCTTGCGATGGCCTCCACCTAGTAGCGTCCGACGTCTCCAAAAAGGAGACTTGAGTGTGTCACCAACATTTCACCCGGCGTCTTTTGCGGTGCTCTTGTGGCCTCACTGCTGGAAGCTGGGCCTCCACCTGCCCCGTGAGTCCCCCGAATGACGCTGCCAGGTGGACTCATCCACCGGAAACAAAGATCGTAGGGGAAATTCTTGGAATTCTCGTCAGCTTGCCGCTCGTGCAACGTCATGAAACACATCAAATCAATATCTTTAATTTATCTTTAAATCAGATTCTCAAAAATCCTATCAACATGACATGAGTTGGAAGCCCCAACTCATGAACCCTGAAATGTCCCAGAAGCGCTTGGACTGACCATGGACCATAGGGGAGCCACAAAGGGTTTTCAAACCCAAGCCGCTTAGCCCGTGCATGGTTGATTGGTCATCACTTCTGGGCAATCAAACCCGCAGATGTGTCCGCAAACCACTGTTTTCCGCAAACATCAGCGCTTGAACGAAGCTTCGTTAGGCATCTTTTGGCCCACACATTCAGGTAGATTGAGTGAACACCCCCAGCATACCCCACCAGGGGATGTCCCTGGCCACCTCGGCTGCGACCGTCACCGGCTCGCCCCATGGTGCGCCAGCGGTTCGATGTGCCTCATCCTTCTTCAGCTGATCCACCAGGTCAACCAACTCCTAGACGTGCAGTCGCAGGTGCCTCCGAAAAGTGGGCCAAAGGCGGCCAAAGGGCTTTTGGTGCAAACATCCTGTGGGGATACTGTACCAGGCCAAGTAGACAAACAAAGCCTCAAAAGCACTCTTCCTCCAAACCCAATCATGCTGAACCTGAGGTCACAATATGTCACAATACTCCATGTTTGATATGTTTTGATAGCACATATTGCATCTTTCACCCAGCAGATTGAAATCATGGACCAATCATCCAGTCTTCCAACCCCCAAGCTTTTGCAAGCTCCTTGACACGATCATGAAGCTCCACGAGTTCCAGCTCCCACTGCACCTGCTCGTCGGACGACGTGCTGACGAGGGATTCTGCGGATGTCTGCATTGCGGCGAATGCCGGAGGACGTGGCGAATGCCGGCCCTGCGTCCCGGCGTTTCTGAAACGCGTCGGCCACATCAACGACCAAACCAGCAGAAGATTCAGCCTTCCAGGATCCCAGTCTTCAACCCGATCCTTCTCGGTCCAGTCTCACTGGGCCTGGTGCTTCTGTGTGAGGTGCTCCATCTCATTCCTCACAAGACGTGAAGGGAGCGGCGATGGAGACGATCTCAAACCTTGACCCAAACGCTCCGTGAATTGGGCCTGGCCGGCCCCTCCAATCCTACAAACCCCTAAAGAGGATGAGGGTCCAGGGTAGAAGATATCTATGGACCTATGAGCATCCTAATGCCCTATCAAGTCCTTAAGTGTTGGATGGATGTTTCATGCTGTTGAACATGCATCACCATGCGTCGTTTTATCTTATTCTTTTGATCTTTTTTGTTTGGCTGCCACACTGGTTGCAGATCTACCGTATCTCAAAGTCTTCCGTGTCTTCCCCTTTTGTGGGGAAGCAAGCGATGAAGCCGCATGGATCGTGAACATCGACCCCGTTGGCGCACTGTGGCACCGGGCCGAAAGCGAGTAGAAAGCCGTTCCTCGACCTCCGGGGATCCCATGCTTGGCCCGACCAGGCAAACTCCAAATCCCAAGCAGTACCGGACCGAGAAACTCCCCGTTTTGGTTCCGGCTTCTGTCTTTGGACAAGAACAACTTCGAATTCTGTGAAACGAGGTGAGACGGTCTCCCAACAGTTGTGCATGTTTGAAGCACTTTTCAACGGAAGATCAATTCACCGTTGAGGTAGCAGCTCGCAATGAGAGCTAGCAACACGCTAGCAGCCTCTACTCTACTTTCTACGAACCTCGCAAGAGAGCGGAATTTCAACCTCTCATACCTGTGACTTTTCTGCACAGATTGGGAGAATATTCCCAAATGTATGGAATTATGAAAACGACCCACATGAACACGAGGGAGCCAAAGACAGGCCAATTGAAATCATGTCCGAAAGTATATTTTAACAAATTGTACTGCAACCAAACCGCAACATTGAAACTGATGCCGGCCGCTGCTCCGAGGAACAAGATCAGCCACAGCGGGCACCGATCGGCCAAGCGTGCGCCCATCCTCCAAGTCTGCAGAAATTGCCAGAACGCGAGGTACACCATGGGCGGGGCCTGAAACCAGCCGATCATCCAGCCAAGGGCCGACTAGGGGAATAGGTGCTCATTCACAGCCAGGTAGACGTACAAACACCAGAAACCAAGCAAGGGATGCACGGTGAGCGCCAGCACCTGCCACAATGGTGGAGCACCATTGCCTAGGATATTCCGGACAAAGCCACCCAGCTCAGTGTGAACCATCTCATCAAATCGGTCCAAATGAGCATCGGAAGAAGTCTCGCTGGGATACCATCGTTTCAATGTTTGGAAAACCAGCATCCGGTCGCATAAGAGTATTTCGCCAGTTTCAGGATGGCAATGGTTCCACTGACAACAGCTGCACTGAGCATCTCGAATCTTGAAATCATCCAGCTGTTTTCCCAGCTGCAGCAAAGCTTTCATCTGCATTGTGCCAAGGTAAAGGACGATGGGTGCAATCACCAAAAATGCCGGCGCACAAATCACGAGCATTGTAGCTGTGAAATGCCACAAGCTGCTCAAATATGTATTCTCTTGTTGCAGCACCGACTCCACATATCGAGCTACAAGAATGTGGAAGCTGGTGACAAGCAGCGTTTCAAACACTGAAAAGTACACAAGCAGCGGACCCATGCTTGCTGGAGCAAAGTTGATGTCTTTCCCTTTGCCTTCATTTTCCCTCAAAAAGGACGACAATTCGAAGGCTGTCCACAAACGTGTGAAATATCGTGGACTCCACAGAACCACAAGCTTTCGAGATTTGGAAAGAACTCCACCCAATGAAAGGATCCCTTGCTTTTTCAGATCCACATCGTGCTGCGCAATGCAAAGTCGGTCGAGAAAAGCCATATTCTTTTTGTAGAGGCTTCGAATGTTCTGCCAAAACACAAACACAAACCAGTAAGCACCATGGATGGTGAGTGTGCCAGGAAGCCATCCATCTAATACTCTGAATATGATGAGGACGCAAACCAGCATGCACATCAGCAAACTTGCCAAGGCGGCCGGTACACTATTGAAATAAACCAGCAATGTAGCGTATTTCAGCCAACGCTTCGTCCCCCAGTCGTGACTCAAAAATGTATCGATCTCATTCACCCGCTGGCTGAGGTGGTATTCATCCCTCGCCCGATTCACCCATTGCTGTCCACAGCCTGCCAAAACCAAGTGCATTGGAACGGCTCTGAGGAGTTCCTGGTCAATGGATGAAGGTAATGACGACACGGAGACGCCTCTCTTCTCCTCCGGCGGCGCTTCGCCGGGACGAGGTGCAGGCAATGGCGGGGCTTCGCGGGGACGCGGCGCCATGGCAAGAGCGGCTAGCAACCTCTTGGGTGGTTGATGTCTTGCTGTTTGCATTTGAGAATTACATCCAAAAAACCAACAACATTTATTTAATTATCATGTGCAGAAAGTTCTTGGCTGTTTGCTTTGGCCACGGCGGTATGGCTATCAATTTATCTTTTTCTCTTGTGGGCCTGAGCCGTTCAAACCAAACATATATAACTATATATATAGATATATGATCAACACATCTGCATTTGTCTTCCTCCACGGGGTCGTTCATGAGGTCCCCACCGCCTCCCACGGCCTGCAACTTCTCTCTTTTTGTCGCTCGTCCATGAGAGAAATTGAATGCTTTCTGGTCGCCATGTTTGACTCCGCTTCCCGTCGTCGCCACGTTGGAACCACCTCCGATCCCGCCGGCCTCGCTTCGGGTCGCACCGAAGCGCCGCAGTTTGGGTCTCCAAAGCCGCGAAGCCGCGTTGGAGGAGACGCGGCCATCACTCCTCACGGCATGGGAGATCGCACGGGCCTTTGACCAAGGCTTTTTGGGCATCATGGTGAGGATTTGGGGCTGGGTGAGGACCTTCGCAATCTGACACAGCTTTGCCTGAGAAAGGCTACAATATCAAGGGTCAAACTAAGGTGGTTCAAGTTCAAGATTAGGAAACACCGTCACTGCAAGTTGCATAGCATTGCAACTTGGGGTTCTTCTGGTGGAACCCCACCTCACGTACCCAGCTCGACATCTCAACGCCTGGCCCACGCAGCAGCGAACAAAGGTGGCAAGAAGCACCTGTCAGCGAACCAAGGCGGTCTAGAAGAGTTCAGAAATGGGTGTAATGTAGACTCTTGATGCATCTTCGGTCATAAAACCCTCCCTAGAGATAGAGCCAACATTAGTTGTCCAGTAGAACCAGGTGTCTAGGCTCGGCACCTCAGCTTCTCCTCTCAGGGTCCAATTGGCCCAGTTGGTGGAAGAGCGGAAAAAACCGACCTTGTCGATGCACCTTGAAGGGTGGTAGTGGTTGGGGGCCGGGCCGTTCAATCTCACAGCTCAAAAATGCTCAAAGTAAAGGATCTCCACCTGACCCAAGCACATCCAAGTAATATGAGGATGATGAAGTGCCAAGTAATATGATGGTTTACGGTTTTCCCTCATCCCCCCATCTCAAGTTGATGGAAGTAATATGTACCAAGGCACTTCCGACTTCCAAGCACGACGGCCACGAAACCACTATTCTGTTAATCGTGTGGTTATCTGTATCTCGGGTGGTGCAGGATTTCTTCCGACAGTAGTGGGCCATCAGTAATGACATTGACATTGGATGACATCGGGAAGGGTACCTGGATGATCAGCCAACTGTTGATAAACAACTTCAGCTGCACCACGGCGGCATCTACATCACGGCACGGCATACATTGAGAATAAACTAGTGACTAGATCTGGATAATTACGTCTTCCGCACTGATATAGAAACAACACACAAGAAATAAACAAAGAAACACGGTGGAAACTCTCCACGAATTGATGTCCTGATCTCATCTTAGTGCCTGGAACCACTCACCTCGACCTCCGGACGGGCCGACCTGGCCCGTGGCATGGGCTGAAGAGCGGCCGTCAGGCTGCTTGATGGTTGGAACCAAGAAACTAAATGCCTTTCTCCAGCAAATCGCTTTTGCTGGGGAAGGCACCCCCCAGAAGCAAATGCCCAAAATGGCTAAAGCACCGCTGACAATGATAGGGAGTCAACATATGAGGTTGTAAATCATCCTTTTCCACTCCTTTCCTTCCCTTAGATTCTGCGGTTCGGATCTTCTTACTTGATCTTCTTACTTGACTTGATGGAAGTGGCCCTTCCATCGGACCACATTATTGTAAATGCGATCAATTTGGAGTGACTCAAGTTGAGCATCTCCCTCGAGCCAAAGGCGCCGGGACGTCCGGGCGGTGCCGGGCTCCCAAGCTGTTTCGACGCCAAGTCCGCTCGTCCAAGCTTTTTCGACGCAGTTTCATGCGTGCTTGTGAGTGTTGATTAATTTTCATTGTTGGTAGTCGATAAGAGTCGATAAGGGTCTCAAACGGACAACTTTATAATGAATACTTCGAACCCCAAATATGGGCGTCGATGAACGTAGGGAGAGAAGCGAATCGGACCCCCACATCAAGGGAAGCATCAACTTAAATCAATTGGGCCAAGGGGTTCTACACGCATTTTGCTTGGGCCAGGAACGGCCGAACTCGGCAGAAAACGAAGAGCGGGGTGAGGAGCTCGCTGGGCATATAAGTAGGCCCAGTAGAGATCCCCCTCTCTCTCTCTCTGTGCCGTTTCTAGGATAGACTACTAAAGCAACACACTTACAAATATACAATATGTTGACTGCTACAGGTATTAGGACAAACCCAAACAACATGTGCATAGCCAAGTATATATATATATAATATATATATAATATATATATATATATATTTATATCTGCAGCATGTACAAATCTTGAAGCTTTAACTTATTTTGCGTGTAACTGCCTACCAATGTTGACATGTCCTTCAGTCTGGGACAGGTCTTGAGTCTTGGAACACTCTGAAGTAGAGATGCTGAGAGTGGGCCCAAACATATCAAACAATATCAAACGTAAGGGGCTGGACACAATGATGGGTATCCAAACGCAAAAGCGATCGCCACTTTTCCGGGCTTTTGCCTTAGCCGATGCCCTCCGTCGGATGGACCACGATGATGAGCACGCCCTCCGGAAGCTCCACCCTATACATCTCTTCTACGCTCTGTGGCGGCCGCTGGAGACAGCAGGCTGTCTCGGGCAGTGGCACTTCTGGAGTCTGGTTTGCAGCTTCCCATGGCTTCCCTGACTTTCTGTCAGACTTTGGATCACTTTGCACCGTGCATCTCATCCAATGCAGTCGTCGAGCCCGCGCACGTACGTGCTCCCTACGTCAAGTTGAAAAGCGCCTGGGCTGCACGCTGAGCAGAGCCGCCAGCCGGAGCTGCACCCTTCGCTGTCGCCTTGCCCTTCGCTCCCTTACCTGGCCTTGGCAAGCTGACACCATTCGCTGGATGCGGTCAGGGGCGTGTGTCTTCCCTCAACAGTATGATCTCAACAAGAGTGTTTTAAATGAGAACTGATGATGATGATGATGAGGAGGAGGAGGAGGAGGAGACTGCTGGGACACCCTTGAGAGTTCCTTTTAGCAATTTTCCGCCCTTGGGAGGTGAGCCTTGTCCTCTTCAGGCTGCTTGGGGCGATCCTTGACATGACAAATCTGGGGCACTTCCGCCCTGTTCGAGCAGCAGCGCCATCGACAATGTTTGGAGAGTTGGCTCCGTTTGTCCGTTTTGCGAACGTCGGTCCGAAGGACGCTCCACAAAAGATCCAGTTCTTCGGACAAACATCGCAGCGTGATTTGATCTGTTTTTTCATGGCCTCCTCCACAACACAGCCTTCTCATTTGTGGCCCAGGGGCCCCTTTCCTTTCCGCCGCCTTCGCCTTCGCCGCCGGCGCACTTCCTCCCCTACATCTCCATCACTCACCTGCGAGCGTCTTCGGCCAATTTGGAATTTGCAGGAGTCGCAAGGGAGACCATGGACCACCGAAAAACCACAGAATAAATGATCAACCAAGTCAACCTAGAAGGGTTCGGAGCGATTCGGAGCTTCAGGTCTTGTGCACACAGCACATGTATGCACATCTAGCTCATCTATTATATAACCACCTAATTAACCTTTGGCTGAAGATGATGGGGGCATGATGGGGGGCATGAAAACATTCCTCCAACACAGTGTTCCACACAGCTGGCGCATGTCACCAGCCCTTCAACTTCTGAAACGTGCCGTTGTTCGGTGCCGGAGCTGAAGCCGGATGTCGTGGGTCCTTCTTCCGGTCACCCAGCGAGACGCCCCGAAGCAAGGGACCCATGTCATGGGACATCTCCATCCATGGAGTCCCTTGAAAATCCGAGGCCGCACCTCTGAGACCTCTCCGAATGCCTCTGCCCAGGGCATGGCCAGGGCTGCACTGCCAGAGCCTCGGATGCTCCAGCACCGGTGGAAACATGGTGCGGTGAAAAGGAATGATTGCAGGACCTACAGTGTTTTCAGTCTAGATGGCCTTTAAATGGGGGTCCATATATTCACCTTTTGGGGATTGCGCCATGACTGTATATGACTCAAGGGTGGATGATGATTTTAATGGGGTTTCCCCCGTTTAGACGTTTGACCGCCAGCATCAGCAGAGTTGGGTCTTTGTATTCAGCAAAGTGCGAGTGAGCAAATGTGAGCAGGCTGGCCTCTTCACCTTTCTAGGTGGACGCTCCATCAAAAAAACAAGATGTTCACTTGGCACAACTAGTCGTCGACAGTAGAACACCTCAAAAAAAATCAAAGAGTAGAGAGAGAGAGGTGAGTACATTAGTTATCAGTAGATGTGTAAATATATAAAAATAATCGAAATATTTGATTGGGCATAGCCTGTTACCAGTAGCAGTGGATGGTGGTTGGTAAAGGCCTTTTTCAAAAATCGTGATACTTGTTCACCGAATGTTAAACAGGAAATGGGACAAACCCAATGACCCAATGTATACATACGCATATGTGGATAGATCTGTAGAATACAATCCCATACAATCCATGTATTAAAGCTTTAATGACTTACCTTGGGGATCCTTGGAGTGCTTTCAAGATGTTTTAAGGGTCATTGTCGCCGTAGGAAAAAATCAGTCCTGTGGATCGTTGGGGAATAGTACATAGACCCGCACATCCAAGCGAAAAAAACACATTCATTATAAGATGCGCTCGAGTATTGTACATGAATGGGGCCTTGGATCCAACCTCGCAGCTGAATGCTGTGGCACATGCCAAACGCTGTAGTCAGCTGCCTAGTGTACCTTCTTCTAAAATCTGTAGGCGAAACATCTCAAAATCCTGTTTCACTCCTAGTAGTGATAGACAACCTCAGAAGGGGGAAACGAAAGCCAGGACAAACACGCAGGGGAGTTTTTCCGTGCCCGGCGATGGTTGCAAGGAGATGGCTGAAGGCTGGGTCAGCTGTATAATAGATATATATATATATATACAGATAACATATACATAGCATAAAGGTACATAGTTCCCCCCCGCCAGGGTCAGCTACTGCAACTCTTCCTGGTCGGACAACCTTCAGTGCTTTGGTGATATGGTGTCTTCGTTTTGAGTTTCCTATTTGGACTGCTGCCCCCAGTGCTGCCGGTATTTGGCTTTTGTTGTTGGTTCATTGGAGGAACACGCAAGTGACGGAGACGCGTTAGTTAGGAAAGGTTAGGGGGTCCTTGGAGGTGCCCCGCGCTCGACATGGAGCCGGTCTTCTTCAGTAATAGATGAAGACTCAGACCAGCAGTAGCCACGACAACAGAGGGTGACAGGTACATTTCTCTACGCTAGTATTTGGGCCGCTGTCCGTTGCCAGCGGCCACAAGTCCCGCCCAGGTGACCGGGGCGACGAACGGCCATGCTGTTCACTTTCGTGGTCTGTCTGCCGCCCCGGTAACTTACATTTTTATACTCTTTGGAATTAAGCCGGTATCTCATGGTCCCCAATACTGAATATAAACATGAAATGGGGCACCCTCCTTGTAGGGAGGGCCCTCTTTCGAACCAGATCTCATGAGGTTCATTCATGTGCACCTCTATAGAATCCAGGATAAGCAAGTTTAAACCTGTCTCACTCTTGGCCTGCTTTGCTATAGAAACGGGGAACCCAAGATACCGATGAACAGGTCAGAGACTGAAAATCCAGCGGTTGGGATGGCTTGTGAACCGGCTCATGAGGAAAACACTCTAGGATTTGTGGTTTTGACAACTACTGGTCAATTCTATGAAGGTTGTTTTTGGGTGCAGGGCGGGTCACTCAGGGTGATTCTAGGCTTGCAGAAACTGGCAGGCCAATCAAGACTCACCAATTGAAACCCATTGTTCCTTATAGAATTGAAGCAGCTAGGGCCATCTTTTCTCATGACTGGCAGACTCCAAAAGTTTGCTATGACAAAACTAAGCACAGCAAGAAACAAAAGAGCTAAGAAGGGGCGCTCACAACTAGCACCTCTGTATACAAGATAACAACTCTATAGAAATGGGGCTCCTGGCATTGCAAAGAGGTGAGGTGACATGCTCACTCTATATAATTAAAGAACCACCACCACAAAAAACCAGGCCTGAAAATCTTCGGTATCTTGGGTTCCCTGTTTCTATAGGCCCTAGCTGCTTCAATTCTATAAGGAACAATGGGTTTCCAACTAAATATTCAATTCTATAAAGGTTCAATTGGTGAGTCTTGATTGGCCTGCCAGTTTCTGCAAGCCTAGAATCACCCTGAGTGACCCTCCCCTGCACCCAAAAACAACCGTCATAGAATTGACCAGTAGTTGTCAAAACCACAAATCCTAGAGTGTTTTCCTCACAAGCCATCCCAACCGCTGGATGTCCATAAACTTCCACCTTGGTCACCTTGGTGAAACTTGGTGGCTCTTAGAGCACAGGGAAAGAGAGCAAAGCCAGTATCTCGGCCATTCCCTAAGACTGGCCTGTCTCCTTTTCAAACTATTCCTTAGTATCGAGGTTAGTGGTAACTATTGTTCCTAGGTGACCCCCACTCCCCTGGCACAGGGACCAAGCAAATTATTCCTGATGAGCATTCGACAACATTATTCCTAGAACAGTATTCCTGACTCTTACGTGCACCCCTGAATAATAAGTTAAGGGCATCCAATTATTTCTGTATCTCTGAATATGCAAACATCATGAAAATGTGACTCTCCATAGAATCCAGGCACCCAAGCGACAAACGACACAACCATTCACAACATGACTCTCTATAGAATCAGAACACCCAACCTTAAAATATCTATACTTAGCTCTCTATAGAATTGAACACCTAACGCCCATTTCTCAAGAAATTCTAGACTTACAATCTCTATAGAAATAGAGCCCCCAACATCTCTATCAAATTGAAGCCCAACCTCCAGTAGCTATCCAAGCACCTAGGTGCTCAGAATTTATAGAGGAAGTTGCTACAGGGATATTTTTTCGTGGTATATATCACCGGGGCGGAACGTATGAACCACTCCAAGTGGAGAAGGCGATAGATGATGCAGGTGGGAGTGGGTGCAAAGATCTGTTTTGCTTAGGTGATCCAACCCAAAGATGGGCTATTATCAGGCATGCATGCATACATATGTGAAAATGTCAAGACAAGGTATTGCCATAGGGCTAGTCAGGCATGTTTTATAACTGTAATTAACTCTTTCAGCCGTGTTATACACTGGGCTAGCCATGTGTACTACTCTCGGGTAGTAATGATGCAAGTGATGCAATACATCACCTTGCATCTTTTGCATCACCAAGCCAGCAACAACCACCTTTTTGGGAAAGTAAAAACACCAGCAGACGAACTTCGTTCGCAGCACTAACTTCAGCCTAGCCTATCGGCTGGCTTTCGTAAAACCATCCTACTGCTACTTACGGGTACAGTACATTACCACTTAAATATGCACAGCACATTGAGAAGGACCCATCTGAATCTCTCCCCCCATTCTCCGGAAAGAACACCTGCGCCAGCTTCATCTGGAAGCATCCACCCCAAACGCCCCAAAATCACAGGCACGGCTGGGCCTGAGGGGCCTAGCGGTTTAGTTTGACCACTCAACTATTGCCAGGTTGGCGGCCATCGCTATTAGGTAAGACAAAAGTCCTGTCCTCCTCAGGTGGTTTAGTCTCCTCTTCTCTCACCCCCAGAGTGTTTCCGGAGAAAACTCCCGCACCAGATCTGGCCGGGCTCAGTTCGAGAAGCTGGCGGTGAAACTCATGTCCAAGGATCCCAAGAGCTTCATCTCCTGCACCAAGAGCGACAGAAGTGACATTGGATGGTCATGGTGTCACACTTTGGTCATGGTGGACGGTGGCCTTTGCAAACACACTGACGGTGGCTCCAAACCAAACCAGCCTTGTGTTTCAAGCATGTTCCCTCTCCCAGTGGTCCACTGGATGACAATGGTTAGCCAAGGCATGTAGAGGCGGTTCTCAAAAAGTCAAACATAATGATAATCCTTTATTGGCTGTTACTGATGGACACCGCCTACATGTGCCAAGTTCTTCTCCCTTTCGGACATGTCCGCATCAGAGCTGGCCAGTGGCCCGTGCCGCATGCCACCGTTTGTCATGTGGTCGTCGTAATGATGTATTACAAAAGCAACCCTATCTGGACCCATTGGCTGAATGGGTGGGACATGAGATCATCATGGATCATCCAAAATTGCACAATCAGCACGAATCTGACTCTGCGTGGGGTCAGAAGACCCACGACCCATGTCTGGCGGCATTGTGAACACCAAGGATTCTCCAGTCCACGCTTGAATTCGCGACAGACGGTCCCTCCCCTTCCGTTCGCACGGGCTGCAGATCAGCCTCTCGGTCTAAATATGTCTAGATGGTAACGTCTGGAAGATGGAGGCAGTCTCATCTCGGTCCATCAACAGCCGTTCAAAAACAACTGACCCGGGAAACTGAGGAGAAGACCCAGCTCATCAATGGCCCATCATGCACCATGAAAGGATATAACCTGTGTGTTTTTAATGCATGCTTAAATTAAACATTATGCTTAAATTAAACATTACTATATATAAATTAAACATAATCGTACATAGCGGGGAAATCCGCCAGAAAGGCAACAACGCCACGGCCATCCCCAATCTCGCCATGTCTTGGACGGCTAACGCGGCATTCCCGATTGGGTGTGTGTGCCGCTTCGCTTGCGCCATTGTTTTTGGTAAATGATGTTGATGTGTGAGGGCTGTGATGTTCTGAACAACTCCTCCTTTGCATGGGCCTTCTCCGTTGGGGCCGCTTGAAAACAAATGACGCCGGCTACAAGCTTCCTCCGGAAGCGGACCTGATCCTGCTTATCCATTGACTGGTCTGCACTAGTACACTTGACACATCCCCTGAACAATGGCCTGATGTTGCTGATAATCTAATGTGATGATGTGAATAGATCCCCGTGGCGGAATGGTGAGTTGACGTAGATGTTTTGAGCCCTCCCATCTTGCCTGATGCATGGGCCCCAGAACCGAGTAGAATGGTCAAACCGTTCTACAGAGGCATGTCCCCTCAAGACTTCACTCAGCACCACTCGGAAGCACAACATTGGAATCAGCTCATGAAATTACTGCCCAAGACAGCTTCCCCAAATGTGGTCACCTGCAACATGGAACGTAAAACCACCAGCTTGTAGAGACAATTCTTTCAGGGGCCGATATCTATATAGAAGATTGTGGAGAAAGGCATGCTTCACAAAACGAGTGTAGCACCATGGCCACCATTCTCACATGTTTTCAGTCGTCATGATGCAGTAGGTGTCGTGAGCCAACCACCTTATCAGCCTCACAGCAAGTAACTTGCAGTTCAACAAACAAATACACAAAGTTGGTTTCAGTTTCAGTCGTTGGGATGGGGCCATGATCCACTCATACCCCCCTCTTAGGTCATTCCAGTCAATTGTCTTGTCACCTTCACCGGCCCCTCTTCGGCCAGCGAAGCCGCCATGCTCGGGAAACCGAGCACCTCAACGTACTGCCACATCAACAGCAACAGCCACCTGGGCGTGGCCAACGGGGAGAAGAGATGGCGATTCGTCAAAAGACCGTCACCGTGTGACCAAAAGCGGGCGTTTCAGGGTTTTCCACACCGTGTGACCAAACACCGGTGAAAAAGAACGACTCGAAATGCTCAGTTCGCATGCTGGCTCATTCATGCTTCCATTCTCTGGGCTGTAACGACAATGGATCCGGTGCCCCGCTTAGAGCAGATTGGGCCGAAGTTTTGCTCCATGATCTTTTAGAACTTGGATGTTGATACAAGTCTTTTTCGGTTTGTCAGTGACTGCTAGAATATGGGAAAACAGCGCTCATTCTCATGTCTTACCTCTTCTCCATGGTGCAGTCAATGGCATGCCTTCAATCTGACCAAATCCTACGTCCCACAGGCAGGACACATGTTGTTTGGATGTTCTGCATCTTCTGCAGCATCTCGTCGGCAGTGATCAAAGTCAGTTCTCCGGCAACAATGTGATAGCAACCGAAATCCTGCGGTCAAAATCGATGCCGAAGCTGGCGCCGTCTACGGCCTTCCCCAGGACCCGAAACAACATCGTTTCTGCTGGACCATCCATTAAGACTATCCAGTGATTTTTTTGCAGTAGAGAGAACATTCAAGATAATTGACTTGAGGCCAAGGGGGGGGGCGAAAGCTAGCGCTCCAGAATGGGAAAGTGGAGAGCAGCGAGGTAGGAAAAAACACGGCGCTCTTTTTGGAGGCAGGGGTGAAGAGTCCTTTATATGTGGCTCTTTGCCCGGATCCTCCTGCGAGAGAAGAGAGAGAAGAGA